TATGAACATTTCCCTACTTGAGAACAGCACCATTATTCTATGAAGCTTAGAAATACAAGAAAGGAATAAAACCCCAACAGGAAATTGAATTTGCACATTATTTAATGCATGGTGACAAAACAGATAATTAGACTTTTCTTAATGAATAGTATTCACTTCTGCAAACTGAGAGCCCATGCTTGTAGTCTGCTTGTGTGGTTTTGTTTCTTCAGTGTTGAAACAATTTTTCAATTTTTAATGAACGTCAACGTGGAGTTACTTTATGAAGGGCTTGGTTTTTCAACACTCACTGACAATAACCCTATGGAAATCCTACATATAATGCTCAGTAGGATCAAATTCTACTTCCATTCACTTTGAAAAAATCTGATCTCTTCATTTTCATCATCTGCATTAAAGCTTGGAAGTGACTCAGCTTAAGAATCGTCCTGATCCCTTGGAGATCCCAGGCAGCTGGATTACACTTGAGCAGCTACATTTTGTCAGACCCTGTAGCTTTGAGAGCTGACAGCAGCACTGACAGTATCTCCTACCTTTTTGTGCTCCAAGGATGCAAAATAGTAGCTCCAGAGAGTAGTTCAAGAGAGAAAAAGCTAGTAGGTTGGTGTTTTCCATACAGTGGGAGGCAGAACTGTGTTCCAGCTTATTCCATTCACAAGAGACGCAGAATCATCTGTTTGGAATATGAAATTCTTTCATATACAGACTCGGAGAAGAAGGCTGAGTTCCTCCAGGAGCTGTTGAAGATAATGGTTTTCTTTTTTCACTTAAAGAAAAATGCTGATTTTTTTTAATCTCTATGTTTGTGGTACCTCAGGGAATAGAAATGCTCCCCAGTGTCTCCTGTTTCAGAAGGGAGGTTCTGGTCATGTAAAATTGGATTTCTTCCATCATATTGAGTAGGAAGGGTCTTGGGGAAATGTTATTCTCCTGTAGAACTATTTCCACGTGACGGATGTTTACAGAATACCTCTTGCTTTTTGCCTTCTCAAGTATGATTTGTGCGTCACTATTGGCTCCACGAAGTAATTCTTTTGAAGTTGTTTTTCCCATCAGTATAGGAAAAAAACAAAAGAACATAATTTGATGTTTCCTATAAACTGTCGTCATTTTGGTACTAATTTTTCTTTGACATGATACTTGTATCACAGCACTTGCCTAGATCACACTATTAGGATTTATTGTACGTACGCAGCAATCACAGCTGCTTTCTCTTCATTGCCTGTGCTGTCTGTGGCATGAACAATGCTGGGCAGATGGTCTTTTTTTTAATAAAAACAATCACAATTCGTCATCCATCTTTTCTGTGGTATTCCTACAGTGGTCATAAATATGTGTGCTAAGGCAATATGTTTAAGCTTGAGGGGATTTGTTGTCAGAACCATGACTTGTGCACTGTTGCAAAAAGGAGAAAAAAAAAGAAAAGCTGTTTAAATCCCATCCTTGTTTGTACACCACATTGTACACCAAGTGTGGATACAGTCATGTTCATCCTTTCTGATTTGATCTCTGAGTCAAAGTGAAAGCAGCCGGCTGGAACAGCATTTTTCCAACCATGGATGTTAATACTCTGGGTGACCCTTGTTTCGCCCATGTACTTTAAAGCTGTGATTAGTGATAGGAACACGTGCTAAATTGACTGCAAAAATCTGTTGTAACATGGGGTTGCCAGGACTTGTCTTTAATTCGTATAGGTTGGTGTGTGCTTCGTGCTGTGAGTGTGCCAAAGATGATGCATCTGCTGGTGGTTCACATCATAAGCAGTTCTGGTTGTGCCTGAACTCATGACTTGCCAGTATGAGAGAATTTAACTCATTCTGAGTTATTGACAAAAAGAATAAGAGATTGGGTGGAAAGGAGACTTCCTAAAGAAAAGAGCAATAGAGGGAGCTTCTTTTTAATAATAGCATTTAGGGTCATTAAAAGACTTGCCAAATAATTCTATCCCCCATTTTCATCGCTAGACTTTAATCCCTGTGGCCACACAAAAGGGATAGAGCTTAATAATCGTGAGTGCATGAACCCTTCCATTCAAAGTTTGTAGTAGTTTTTGCAAGCAATGATCTGCCACAGACCTCCGTATGATATGTTGAAGCTGGATTTTCAGAAGAAGCTAGTACAGAGGTTGCATTGAAAGTTACTTTTGATCAACCTACCTCATCAGACCCATTGCCTAGGCAGGTAGAGAAGGCCATAATGACTAAATGAGTTTTTCAAAAGGTGACTCATTGGTAGAACTGGGGACCATAGTAAAGAGCCAGAGTTCATATATGCAGCTTCTGAGGCAGATCCAGCAGCATGCTGAGTGTCTTTAGCTTGAAGCTGAAGTATATATATAGACTTGGACGTTAAAGCTACAAGCTGAATTGCAAAGTGTAATTTAAATAATCTCATAGGCGCATGAGTACTCCATAGCCCTTGATGAAATTTAGCAGCTTCTGAAGCATCTAGTACTGACCCCACTCCTTGACAATATTCCAGTTCATACACTGTAACCACAGGATCTAACAGTCTGAATACTGAAGTAATCCCTAACAATTTTTAGACATTAAAGTAGAATTCTCAGTTACTCCATGATTTAACTGTAAGGATCCACCAGAGGTAACTTAGAAAACCAACCTGTTGTAACTAGGCTTAGGTTTCACCTCTGGAGCTCCGGTGGAAAATGACTAGATGGCCCACGACTCAGGAAGAGTCTAAGATGATGTGGTGTAGAGGTCACAGTATCTTCTGCCTAACGGTTACATGATATTGTACCATTAGTTTGAAAATAATTTTTTAAACAAAATGGACATCAGTAGAAGAAAACGGAAGAATGAAAGATGTTTTTTTTCTGGAGGTGTACCTGAAAACCAGCTTGGAGCATTTTGCAGCATTATAATAGAGCCTTAACAATAGTTCTCTGTAATTCTCCTAAGTCACTGATAATTGAGTTTTGGTTGCTTGTGGATTTAATGCCACCATGAAATGTAATTTGTTTGCACATGGAATATTAACACTGTTTTATGCAGAAATATGAAACCAGAGAAATGCTAGTACTGATACTGCTTTTATTGTAAGCTGCATTTTAGTGCATTCTGTTTATTGCTATTCTGTTAGTTATTGTTACAGTAACAGTCATTAGACCTCCAGGGCTTGGCAACAGGCAGACAGAGAATTTGCAATCCCTGCCCCAAACACATTGCAATTTTAGTTTTCAAGGCAGTAGTTAATAAGATATTAACCAATTATAATGGAGGAGAGAACGAATGTTGTGCATAATATCGTGCTTGGAATTTGTGGCAGAGAGATGAACTGAACTCAGGTCCCCTGAAAATCTTTCTGTATTTCATATTTTCATTTTTCAAGGACTCTGTAACTGCAGGGACCTAGAATCCTGCTTATTTATTTTTCCTTAATAATCAGAATTTCTGATATTCGATATTTCTGATATTTGATCTGAATATACTTGAATGTTACAAAGAGGGATGAGATGGAATTGCTTGCAGAGTATGAGTTAAGATAGCATCCTAGACTGCTGTGAAGAGTAGTTTCTCTTACTGAATTACACACAGTATACAGAGGAGCAGTAGGTGTGGCTGAAACCAAAATGCCTGGGAGCAGCCATGTATATATTTGTCTAAGAATTCATCTAGCAGCTCCTATTTATGCTTTCTCACTGAGGTGAATAAAGAGGACTTTTTAAAGCTCGCATGAAGCAAGTAGTATTTTTGGTGCTACTGTGGGATGTTAAATAGGTAGGTTCAAATCCTTTGTTCAACTCAAGCTAAAGCCAAAGTGTGAAATTCAGTTTCCCATCTCCTATGGCACTTTCTCTTCATAAGAGTTGGCTGTTATAAGATGGATTTCTTTGTCTCCTGTGTCGACCAGAAATGCCAATGTAATACTATGAATATTTTCTTAAAGCAAAACAGGCACCTGGTTTTGATGTGTTTTGGTTTGGGTGAATAAGCATTTAACAGTAGAAAAACTGCCAAGTCACAGAAATCCTTGGCTGGTCCTTCATCCTTTTACTGATATAATTTTTTTTCCCAATAAAGTTGTACATGACCACAAGTCTATATCCAAATATTAGAGTTGTTTATCTAATTCATGAAGTACAGGGAGTATAGTATGTAAAAGACTTAACACAAGATCAATGCAGATTAGGTACTCAAAGGTAATAGTAGTTCTTAGGACATTAATTTGTTGAGAATACAGGTGGGGAATACTCTTCCTATTGGCTTTATTCAGTGTCCAGTATACTGTTGTATAGTTTGGCTGCATGTATCATGAAATGTATATGTAGTGGAGATGTGGCTATATTTTTAATGCTTGATTGTCTTTTTTCACTGCAGCTTTCTCCCACTATTTATGTCTAAATTAATACTGTAAAATCACCCTGAAGATTTGAAAGATAATACTTTTTAAAGCAAAATGAAAATTATTGATGCAACGATGGTGAAGCAACTCAGTGTTATCTGAGGACTGGAAGAGTTAATCTGAACCATACAACATTTCTGAAGTATTCATAGTTTCAAAAACAATGAGCACCTTGAAAGCTTCTTAAAGCATGTGGTTGCAGGAAAAATGTATGTTAGTGTATAAAATAGTAAAATCTGTTGTATTTATGGAATCACATCTTTTCTTCTGCTCACCTCCAGTCCCAGAAGTCAAAGCAAGATTGCATTAGTACAAATAACTCTGATAACAGCATTAACTGGGTGATGTGAGGTAACTGAGGTCTTGGTGAGGACCAAGTACACGAAAGTTACAATAAAGTAGATTCCTCCAAGGAAAGTCTTTATTACAAGCTCTCTTCTAGCCAGAGAATACCAACTATCTCCTGGGATGTCAAGGCATGTAATGACAGGAGGAGAAAGCAAAAATCTGATAGAAGGAAGCAAGACCACCAGGGTCATCTCATTTGCCGGCAGCATAGGCTGTTGCTGACATCCTTAGTAGCTATATTTTTCCAATCTATCTGTGTGGTTTTTTTTTTCTTCCAGTGTGTGGCTGTGACTTGGCACAAGGAGGCTTTTTCATTAAGAACGGGGAATATCTTTGCACCTTGGATTACCAGCGTATGTATGGTACCCGCTGCAATGGTTGTGGGGAGTTCGTGGAAGGCGAAGTAGTGACAGCTCTCGGAAAAACTTACCATCCAAGCTGCTTTGCCTGTACTGTTTGCAAGTAAGTCATCCCTTTCAACTAACATGGCATGAACCAGTACAAGGAAAACAGGGAGAAAGGTATCACCATGAGAGACAAGCCTCAAGACACATTTCTCTTTGGGAGGCGTTTGGTTGGAAAAGATCTGCTGCAAGTCTGATTTTGAGGGTCTTCAAAATACCACTCATTTATTTGGAGGGGACACCTTCTCTGTTACATATAGTTCCCTGTTCTCAGAAAGTTACTCTCACATATCGAAGAATTGAGTATCAGGCTTACATGTTGAGATAATGGACATGGGTTAAGTTGAGTTCAGATGATCAGCCGAGCTTGATGGGAGAAATGAGGTAAAGCAAAATTCTGCATGCTACAATAGAGAAGTCATTTGGGCTACAAGAACAGTTAAACAATTGAAAACATACTGGAGACTCATTTTCATATCATGTAAGAACACATGGCTTTGGGACAACTGTGATCCCCCTCTTCTTCCCAAATGTTATTTGTTGTTCCCAGTTCTACAGGGAATAAAAAGAAGTTAACTGAGGCTGGGTGGATGGACCAAAAGGTGGCATTTTTAACTTGTATTTTTGTTTAAAGTCTCACTAAGATGTTAATTCAGAATTTAGGAGACTACTGGACAAATATTCCACATGCTCTCATAGCCTGCTCATTTGAGCAGTTCTATACTTGAAAATCTCAGCTCAGCTTTACAGCCTGAACTCAACCCAAAGTCCCTGTGCATAGTGTTCTCTATTAGCTGGCTGTAGGCACTGAGACTATGCTAGAATTTAGGCTGTCTTAGCATGTACCTTATTGCTATGGGGATCATGATAATATTTTGGATACACTAGGGGAAATAAAACTTCTGTAGGTTTTTATAGAAGTGGCACATTTTTATAGTAGTAAAAACAATCTTATAAAGCAGAAGTACAGTGATATTATGGTGCCATGATGATTCTACAGAGAGCCAACTGTTATGTGTGTAGTTACTATTTACTAAGCTGGAATTAAGATGGCCATCAGGTTGTTCATTTCTGCAGTTCTGAGCTCTGCAAATAAAACAGAAGTTTTCTTAAATAAGTTTCAGTGTAATGGCCGAGGGACACATAACAAGCATCACATAGAGATGTAGGTAGATTTCATAGAGAGGCACAACTCAAAAGACAGGACCTGTTCCTTTGTAGTCTTGGAGGGAGATAGTGGAGTTCTCTAGAAATCAGAATCTGACAGCAGTTGAATTGTCTGAAACTTAATGCAGGAGGATGATATGAACAAGAAAGGCAAGAACATACGTTCTGAGATATTACCTTGTTGGAGAACCCATCATATGACGTGCCTGAGTATTAGTGTGGCAGACTTGCCAGCTGCTACCTTAATCTTTCATAGCTACCTCTGATGAGTGGCACTTTGTCCTATAGCCTGGTATGTTTTTCAACACCTTTTCTATTGGAAGTATTTTGATAATTTTTCCGTTTGGTTTTAAAAAGTGTGTGAATTTCTGCATGTTGGTAATCATATGATGTGTATGTTTCCATTTTATTTTCCCAAGGACAGTGTGAAAGTAGATGATACAGTATGAAACATGACATCAATATTCTCTACATTGACTTGCATCCATCTTTTTATGTTGAATGAACAAAAGATGAGTCATTGGAATAGATTCATGAAATGCAGTATTGCTGCTGATTTATTTATGGCCCACTTAGGAATGGCAGTGGAAAGGAAACTAGAACAATGCCTTAAACATTTTATATTGTGGAAATGAGCAGATGTTCATTTGTTTTGGAGTGAGGTGTGGTGTAGGGGGGTCTGTACTCAGCAGCTGAAGCTACTTAGTAAAGGTTTGGAGTTACTAAACCTTCTCATTTTAGTGAAAAGCTCATAAAAAAACATTGTTCATCCTCTGTTTTATACACCAAATAAGAGTTAACAGCAATGTCAACTTCTGCCTAACGCATTTTGTTGGGTTAAGCAAATCCAACGTTTTGTTGGGTTCAGCAAATAATCTCAAATTTCTGTAGTGCATTCAGCGTTTACCTTTCTCCTAGCACCATCTGTACAGGTAGCAATTACTGGTGGTTCTGTAATGTAGATACCTATTTTAAATCTCTAGGAGAATGAATGTGGATAACATCTCAATTTTTTTGCAAACTGCTACATCCACTGTAAAGTAGTCATATATTTCATTGCTGAATACAGATGAAATTAGTGTATTTATGAGTGACTAGCTCCACATTCCTTCACTAACCTCAAGGCCAATTCCGCTTCTTCGAGTTCTCTTCTGTACCATTTGCTATCCACAACATCATGCTGAGACCATCATAAATGTAGCTGTTGTGTCTAAGCGGATTTCACTGTCGTCTACTCTTTAGATAAAGTGTGTTTGATAACTTTTGAAAACCAAAATACAAGGCAAGTCTAACCTCTGCTCTGCTTGCATCCGCAGGTTTGATTTCTTCCAGTGCCTGGCTTTGCCAAGGCCACATTGCAGAAACTATTTGATCTGAGTTTCTGTAAAGTAGTGATTGCACTGGCGAAAGGCAGCAAACTCAAGGCATAGAGAACAGAGGAAAACTTCTGGCATAACCTTTGCTAAAATACATTTTTCTCTTTAACTCTCTAGGCGTCCATTTCCACCAGGCGATCGAGTTACCTTTAATGGAAGGGACTGTCTCTGTCAGATGTGTGCTCAGCCAATGTCCTCCAGTCCAAAAGAATTGTCTCCCTCAAGCAGTAAGTATGCCATCTTCTTTCTGAAGCCTCTCACTTTCCCAGGTTCATCAGCGTTTGGTTGAAACTAACTTAATGCAATCTTTTCTTTTGTTTTGTTTTAATTTTTCCTCACCTTTAGAAATGCAAACTATCTCTGAGAACCATTGTTTTTTCTTTCTTTTTTTTTTTTCCCCTTCATTAAAAGTGTCTGGTACTACAGGTGGGAAAAGACACTTACACATTTCAATATGAACAAATGACTTTTCCCCAAAGACTGGATTTTTAAAAGGCCTGATTTTCCTTTATAGGCACTGGAAAAGTATCTAATTGATGAAATCTGAGGTTTCAGAGTTGATAGATTCCATTTTTTTCATGTACAATTGCACAGGTTTAAGTATTCAAAGGAGGACAAAGTCAGAGGAAATTAATTTTCTTGTACTATTTAACACCCTAATTTAATTAAATTATCCTTTAAAAGGAGTATCACCAGGGTTATGCTTCCAGTAGACTGATACCACAATGATACTGTGATCAGAACCTCAACAAACCTTTTTTAAAAAGAGAGAGAGCAAGTTAAGGGGAAAGAGAGAGAATGAAGAAAGTTTGGGAGGGAAATTAACTTTGTTTGCTGTTGGGTTTTAATGCTTTTAAAAAATAATTTGTAAATTACTGATATTAATCTCTGCCTCTGGTAGTTAATTTTTTTAAATCTTTGGGGATTTCTGATTCTTTCTGTGACTGCTGGATTGTACTCAACACTCTAATCTGTAATGATTTACCCAGTACAGTATTATAATTCAGAATGGCTAGAGATTTCCTTGGGACGCTAGGTTGTTTTCCACCAGTGTTGGTTTCCTTCAGGAAGACTCTGTGTATTTTGTACTGGTTTGAGATCCTAGGATTATAAAGTGCAATGTGAAGGCAAAGTTGGATAACGTTTGTGCTCAGTGGGCAAGTCAAGGGAATCTCAGGTTATCTGATTTGCCTGAGAACATGTAATCAGACACGTAGCAAAATGGAAAATGAGAGCTGTTTTTTTGTTACCATGCCTTTCTGTCTGTTAAGTGATACTTTTCCGCTGTAACTGTAGATTTGGAGCTGAAAATGCACAGGCCTAATCACTTAAGGAAGAATTTAGGAACGTGAAAAAAGCCTTACAAAACTTACAATCCAACATAGAGGTGTATGAGGTACTTCAGGCACCCAGAGAATCCTTCTGAGATAAAAGAATGATGTGGAAATTGTATTTGTTTGAATTACTGATATTTAGGAGGTATAATTGGCACAGAAATGCCAGGCATAGAGGTATTGGACGGTACTGATGTTCTTTTTCTAAGCGTGTCACAGCACTGATTCCCAAACAACTGGTGTTCAGTATCGAAGTAGCTGGATCACACTACATCTGGTTCTCAAAAAGTGGCGCACTCATCCAGCAGTGTGGCAGCTTCCTGGATACGTGACTCCAGGTGCCAAAATGCCTCCTAGCAAATGGTGGGCTGAAGTAGTCTGACAGTGAACAAGTGAAAGAGCTGGAGTCACTTCTTGATAGCCATAGTCTCTGCTAGAATTGAGTCTTGGGTTTCACACTGAAGCCATAGGTAGCAAGGATTATAAAACAATCTTCCCTGATACTTGTGATAAGATTTTTTTTTTTTTTTTTTTTTTTAAATCAATATCGGATCCTGCTGGGCAAACTGCCTTACCAGTACACACAGCAAGAGAGCTCCTGCTCTTAACAGTTTACAAGTACCTGCCACTGTGCATCTTGTACTTTTATGGATAAAGACTTGTAGAAAGCTATAGAATAGAGTTTCTTGTCATTTTAGAGCAAATGTCTGTCCAAAACAGACAAATAAAAGTGAGACCAGCATGTGTTTATAAGTTGAGAAAAACTCAATTAAAAGAATACTAATGAAGCGTCCTTTGTCTTCAAAGACATGCCAGCTACTGCTTTAGCTTTGTGCAAAAGTTGACTTAGATAAGGAGAAGTCTTTCTTGCTGGCACTGAAGAGTAAATTTTCATTAGTGTAAGCTGTTCCAGATTGCTTCAATGTCTCTCCTGCTGGCTGAATCAGACACATCAATTTTTTCTAATGCTTTGCCCTTTTTTGACAGTTTTGGTTTTTTTTTAATACAAGTTCTCTTAGAAGAGAATCTCATTCATGCTGTGCATCTATTTTATATCCTATATTGCTGTCAGTTTCCCCTGATTACTTCCAAGTAGATTATTAGAGGAGGCTTTTCTTAAAACAAAGAAAGTTGGATGTGAGGAAATTCAACAGACTGAAGGTCTATCAGGTTTGATTGGCTTATGTAATGTAAAAGGAAGCCTTCTATCCACTAAAATGTCTGCATTAATGTTGACATGCCATTTTCTAATGTCTGTTACTTCACATAAATGAAAGGCTTATTGACAGCTTTTCTTGGATGATTTCAAGGAAAATCAAATGCCTCTAAATACAGGGGTTAACATCTTGAGTAACATGAACCTGAATATTGTTACACTCTTTTATAGTGCACGCTAATGAAAGCCAGAAGCAAAAATACCGAATAATTAATTTCCCTTTTTTTTGTTTAATATTATTTGGGTCCGTGGTACTTATTTCTGTTATTTATATTAATAATTTATTTCTTTCACTGCACATGTATTACCTGGAGTAGTTATAGCTATTTTCTTGAAGAACCATTTCAGTGACTCCTTTTTTATTCTAATTTGCTAAGACAGTCTTTTTCAGTATACAGATGCTATAGAGTAATTATAATTCACAATTTAGTCAGCCCTGTTCCTTAGACACTGCTAGAAGTACACAGTGTACTAGGTTTGGGATTTTCATTCATTCAGCAGGAAATCTAATACCAAATACCTGTAAATAGCTTTGCAGACAAATGAAATGGATGGTGTTCATTTTTGTTATTGTTTTATTTCATATGACAGCTTGATAAATGAGATGTGATCTGTAAAGCAAAGTGACTGGGACAGATGTAGAGCAGCACAGAAGCAGGGCACAACTAGACAACACTGACTAAAAGTGTGATGTTGATGGCTTGGGTAGTTCAGGGTTTTCAAGATTCTGCCAAAGACAGAAAGTTATTTTCTTTGGAGCCCAATAAAGGAGTAATATAAGTAGTGTATCCTGGTAATTACTATTTATGTTTTAAACAGTGTCCACGTTTTGTAGACAACATCATGATTGCCTGGTTTGTACTGTTTTAAGCTCTTTCTACTTTCTGTTGTGTTTTAGCTACACAATAGCACACCTGTGTTTGTTACGGTCCATACTGGCTTTCCTGAGATGCAGTTGTACAGGCATCTATTATTTCTGAATTTTAGGCAAGACTGCAACTTGTGCGCTTGGCTATTTGGTGATGGGTGCCCTGCTTCCCCCCGCCTCCCCTCATTTTACCTTCTATTAATTACTGTCTCCTGTATTGTATCTCTCCTCCATACGTGACAGCCTTATTTCATTGTCCCTCAGCATTTTGTATCACGTATTCTGTAGACTGTTTTCAAAGGCCACCTTTAAAAATCTGCAAATTATATGGGGTTTTTTTCCTAATTTCGTGCTGTAATTTAGAGTGAAAAAGAGTCAAAGCCAAAGTCAAACTTTTGAATTTTTGTTGTTGTTATTTTATGTTGTTTGGGGATTCATGGTTCATTGTTTCCATGTCGTCAGAGGAATGTTTATCTAGTGGTTACTTCCCATGCACCTAGGAATTGTGAGTGTAGCTTTCTGGTTTTTTTCATACATATTTTATATATCAGAGTTGGTACTTAAATTTCAAGGGGCGGTTTTCTTCCAGCAAAATGAAAAAATAACGCTGCCGTAGCTTACTAGTATGTTGTGGTTATAAGCAAATTGAAGATGGTATGGTGCTTAGATGGTGCAGTCCTAAGTACTGTACTACTGCCTGACCCTTACCTATTGATGCTAAAGTCATTAAAATTAGAAAATTTGTGTAGTTTTAACTTGTATAAGGAGAAATTCAAGAACCTAAGGTCTTCCTAAATCCTTGTTCTTCATCCATTTTAGGGTTAGGTACCTTTGGAAGAGTAGTGTGAGAAGTGTGAAGGCACAAGAGGTGTCGTGAAAGGTACAGCTGAGAGCAGAGCAGCCATAGAGAGATTCCCCGCGCTTGGGGTGGGCGTGTGAGTTGGTGCCACCAGTCTGCTCTGGTGGAACTCGAACCAGCAGTCTTCTGGCTCGGGGGTCATCTTTGAAATTCTGAAGAGACTATGTGTCTTTGACCACAGTTTAATAAATTTCCCTCTTCCTCAAACAGAGATTTTTCCCTTAGGCATTCCGCTTCACTATTTCCATGATAAAGCACTTCAGTAATAAGAGTGTTATGTTACTTCCCTACCTGAGGTTGAGACATTTCTCTGTTGGTTCATTGTCTGGGTGCTGGTTAGGAAATTTTAGTTATTTCTGATACCTTTTTGCTGAAATGTTGGATCATTTTAGTGGTGTGCATGAACTAATTAAGAAATTGCATTTCAAATGAAAAGTGGGCTTTCTAGATGGATAGCAAAAAACTCCCTATCCAAAAGAAACTGAAGCGTTGCAATTACCTATCAAGAGTTTTCGTTTGAAAAATTAATCTTCTTTTAAAATGATGGTGGAGACTCTCACAGTTTCCTCTTCTTCAGTGAAATAGATACTTGTGTCCTGTATATGCCAAGATATCCAGTGATGATACTGTTTGGAAGGAAGCACGGGGAAGATATTTCAACTCCCCTTTCTTTGTAACAGCCTCTCCAGTGAGTTAAGAGCATTACAGTACAGCCAAGACGTGGACCAGAGTTTTCAAAATGACCAGTGTTACATGTGCGTAAATAATCTTTGGTGCAGCTGTTCCCTGACCAGCCGGCATCCACATGGAGATTTCACAATACTGTTTTGCATGTTTGTCCTTGTCTGTTTTGCACATTATGTTCTGGTTCAAAGAATGTAAGTTCTCTGGGACAAATGTTTTCATGCCCATCAGTACAGAGTCTAACAGAGTTACATCCTGGTTCACAA